GCCCGGATGTCTGAATGACTATCTGAATTATCCCCAAAACTACCAGGCCATTATAGCCGGTATAACTGCTGCAATAAGCGGGACTTCTGACAAAAATGTTGCCCTAAAAATAAAGCCGCAGGGCTTAAATGTCTTTCCCAATCCGGCGCATGAGTACCTGAATATAGATATTGGTTATGACAATGCGGCTGCCCAGTCATCTTTATATGTTTATGATGCAGCAGGCAGGGCGACAGCCTCCCTGAATGTGCCGCATACTGCCAACGCCCATTTGACATTAAGCTTAAAAGATGTAGTTCCGGGATACTATACAGTGGTGGTAAAAGATGCAAAGACGGTATTAGGCACTCATAAAGTGCTGGTACAGCAGTGACGAACAGGGGCGTTGTTGTTCGGTTATAGGTATGTGTTCAGGTAGCTATCTATGGAATGGATGATTCCCTATCAGGCATTTTATTATTATAGCGTGTGCTCTTGAGAAACGCTACTTTTGTAAAGAATTAGCAGCATAATTATGGGGCAGTACAGCGTTGGGGACGCACTACGTATCTTATTGGAAAAATCAAAGTGGAAGCCAAAGGTCATGGAGTTACGCATGCGCCAGGAATGGGCCGAGATCATGGGGAAGACCATTGCCAAATATACCCGCGATGTATCACTCAGGGATAAAAAACTGACCATTTATACTGATGTGGCGGCCCTTAAACAGGAACTGATGTTTGGTAAGGAACAGCTGATCAATAAGCTCAATGCCCATTTTGAAGAAACGGTAGTGACGGATATTATTGTCAAATAAATACTATGGCTGTAATTGCTTATTAATCATATTATTCCTCTTATTTCTGAGTGAGGATAAAAATCACTGAATCGCTATTTCTGTTTTTGCGGCGAATGATATTTCTTTGCTTCATGAGCCAAACATTTACCAAAAGCTACAAAGCAATTTTATGTTCATTTATTGGGGCGGCATCGTTGCTCACCATTGTTTCCTGCAGCAAGGGAAGTGATAAAAAAAGCACGGTACGTCTTAAAGACCGTTATATCAAAATGTGGACTGCAAGTGACCAATGTCAATCCTCGAGCTCAGCAAGCTATCCATTGAATATCACGGATAATGCGGCAGGTGAAGACCGATTAACCATCAGTAATATTCAGAACCGCGGTGGTTCATTGGATGCAATTGTCAGCACAAACGGTGATGTAACCATTCCCGGACAACGTTTTCTGACGACTGATACAACTATTCAGGGCAATATCGGGTATGATTCCAGTACGAAAATTATAACGCTGAATATGAATTATACCTTTAACGGGATTACGTATAATATCTGTTACGGTACCGCTTATTAAGTTGACAATAGCCTGATTATCTTTAACAGCCATCCGCATAACAGGATGGCTGTTTTCTTTATGAGGAAGGCTACGCTTCAGGACCGGCAACAGGTCATTGAAATTCTTTCGCAATCATTTGATCAGAATCCAAGTGTAAACTTTGTGATCAGGCAAGGTGCTCACAGGTACGAGCGGTTGAAGGAATTGATGGCGTATTCATTTGATTGCTGTTATGATGCGGGCAGCGTTTACCTGAATGAAGAGGCGAACACCTGCGCGCTTGTTTTGTTTCCTGACCGGAAAAAGACAACCTGGAGATCTGTCTGCCGGGATCTAAAACTAGCCATCAATATTATTGGTGTTGCCGGTATCTATAAAGTGCTGGTACGG